TGCAGCCGAGGATCGGACCGCTAAGGTCCCCGCCTTCGACCACTGCCCAACTCACACTGCACCCGATCCCTATGGCCCCTTCTACAGGTGGTGAGCCCATTGGAGGGGGGACCAACGTGCCTTGTTCAGGCTGTGCCCAACCAGGCCCCATGGGTGCAGGCCTGGCCACCAGGTGCTCGCCATCGAGCCCCACCCCTAGGCCTGGCTCCAGGGGAGGGCCCCGGTGACCGCGTCTGGGCAAGGGAAACCGTGAATCTGTGTATGTCTTCATCATAAGGGGTCTGATGAGCCACACTTTGTCTGGTTCCTCACCCAGGACCTGTTTGCCTTGGGTGACCCCACCAGGGGCATAAAGCCCCAGGCAACTTAGCTCCTGGGATCACTGGAACACGCAAACCCCTCCAACACGATAAGGTGTCGGCTCCAGGAGAGGATCATGTTACCTAATTGCAGCATTTAGGGAGAAAACAATAAAGGCCCAAGGACTGATCCCTGTGGTACTCCTTATTGGACCGGTGACTTTGACAACAGAGTACAGTTATTTGCCAGACCATATTGATGTCAATTAGTCAAAGAGGATTTAAACCAATTCAATGCCCTTCCACACAACACACCATCAAATTCAAGTCTATGTAATAGATTAAATTGGTCAATTGTTACACTGTCAGGAACAATTGCCAATGTTATGAATTATATGACTATAGTTAAGGCAGTTTCAGTTCTGAGTCCCTGACAGAATCCTGTCTGGAATCTATCCAGTATTTTGTGTGTCTAAAAGTATGACTGCTGTAACTGAGCAGCAGCTATCTTCTTCAGAACTCTGGACAGAAATGGTACATTAGAGACAGGTCTGTAATTGCTGAGCTTCTATGGGTCCAAACTTGGTTCCTTCAGTAGTGGTCTGATTGCTGCTACTTTAAATTGGCCAGGGATGTCGCCTGAAGACAGGGACAGATTCATTGTGGCAGTTATGGGTCTTGTCAGAACTCCCTGGGATTCTTTAAGAAGTGGAGTGGGGATTGGGTCCACAGGACATGTGTTCGGTTTGGTTTTATTGATTATTGTTGTTTTTAACTTCTCTTCATTGTTTAATTCTAAAACATTAAGGGTGTGTGCATCAGTTACTTGTGAACCATTTGAATATGTTTGTAATTTTATTATTAAAGAAGTTCATAAAATGTTCACTATCAGTATCACTTGGTAGCAGAGGTTCAGCCTTAGCTGTTAGATAAGCTATTGCCTTAAAAAGGCAGTGAGGGTTATTTCTATTGCCATCAATAAGGTTACAGTAATAGGCTGTACATTATAAAATATGCAAGATGCAGCCTGTTTAACAGTAAATGTTCACTGTTTTATCATTTCCCCCAAAACCATACATTTTATTCACTTTTATGTCACAGGTGATTGTGAGATGGCCAAGTGTAAGTTATCTTAACTTAAAATTTTAAGGCAGCACAGTAACATTTTTTTTTGTTTATTACAGTGCATATCAACTTCAGTGCACTCCAATGAAGTACACTCCGAATACTACACTGAAACAACTGAAAGTCAAAACTGTTTTTTTCAGTGTAGCTCCTGGCTCCGATTCCACATTCACATACAGGCATGGAAGAAAGGAAGAAGCCCCGTCGCTCTTCATTAGAGCCTGCTCCCTAGTTCCCGCCTGGGAAGACGCAGCGAAAGCTGGTAAGCCTCAAGTTGAGGAGAAGCCGCCTCCTTTAGAGGCTTACCATTACCGGCCGGCGCGCCTAAGCCAAGGAGGAATACGATCTGTAGAAGACGCGATTCCTCGGATCCCTGAGGCGCTTAAAGCGGCAGTGTCATCTTTAAGGACACGTGCTCAGGCAGACCTGCCTGTCCCGGATCTGTCTGCTGCCGCCGCCGCCGCTCTGCCCGCGGCGCCCCCTGCTGGCTGCATGCCCGAGGTGCCCGCGGAGGCGCCCCCTGCTGGCCGAACACCCGGGGTGCCCGCTGAGGCGCCTCCTGCTGGCCGCACGTCAGAGGAGCTCCCTGCTGGCCGCACGCCCAGGGTGCCCGCTGAGACGCCCCCTGCTGGCCGCACGTCTGAGGCGGCCCATGCTGGCCATATGATGCAAAATTAAATTAAATTTATTTTTTTTTGTATTATAGAGCTCAGTTATTCTTAAAATAAATGGCAAGTTTCCATTTTTTACTCTGTGCTGAGGCTGGTCAGACAGGTCCTGCAAGTTCTACAGGAGCAGGAAGTATGTGTAACACATAGATCACGAAGAAAACAAGCCCCGTGTTTATTAATATTATCACATTGATCTATTCAGTAACTGATGTAACAAAGTACTGTGTAAGTAAGAATTCCTGCACAAAACA